ATCCATCCATCCATCCATCCATCCATCCATCCATCCATCCATCCATCCATCCATCCATCCATCGTTAGTTTAATTTATTGTATGCAGATCAACACAAGGTCATCAGTGCAATGAAATGTTCAGGATGAGAAGAAACTATTTAACTTGCTAAAAACAAACGGACAAATCAACAACAACAAAACTAAAACAATAAATACTAAAGCATGCAATAAAAGTACAAAATAAAGTACCAGAAAGTGATTTTTTTTTAACAAGGTCCAAAAGACAAATAGTAAACAACAACAGGGTAGAATATAACAGTGCAAGTAGGGTGAACTCGTATAAAGTATTTCACAGGTACTCATAGTACATTAAACGCACATGATACACTGTGTAATGCAAATATAAACTACACAGGTTGTGTGACAGGTTATTGCACTGGTAGGAACATTGAGATGAATTATGATGGTAAGGTAGATACATACATGATCCAGCCACATAGTGCAGCAGCAATAAATATATTAGTTGTCACAGATGTTGTTTAGTTCAATGTTCTTGTCAGTTGTTCAGTATTATTGTCAAGAGTTCAATAATCTGACAGCGTGTGGATAATAACTGTCTTTGAGTCTTTAGTGCGCAATGACAGACTCCTGTATCGTCTGCCTGAGGGCAGGAGACGGAAAAGTTCTTGTGCTGGGTGGGTGTGGTCCTTAATGATGCTGCGTGCTTTACGCAGATACCGGCTGTGGTAGATGTCCTGGATGGTGTGGAGACTGCTACCAGTGGTCCTCTGCTGTTTGCACCACCCGCTTTCTGACTGGTGCAGTTCCCATACCACCCTGTGATGCAGCCTGTCAGCAGGCTCTCAATGGTGCACCTATAAATGTTGGTGAGGATGCTGGTGTTTGTACCAAACTTCCTTAATCTTCTAAACTTTATCTTAATTTTTTACCTGTTTCATGTCCAGCAGTCACTGTGTGAGAGGCAGGGGACACCCTGGACAGGTCTCCAGTCCATCACAGGGACACATAGAGACAAATAACCATTCACTCTCTCTCTCACACCTAGAGATAATTTAGTGTTACCAATCAGTCTAACATGCATGTTTTTGTTATGTGGGAGGAAACCGGAGCACCCGGAGAAAACCCAGGAAGCACGGAGAGAACATGCAAACTCCACTCAGAAAGGTTCCGGGATTTGAACCAGCAACCTTCTCTCTGAGAGTCAACAGCTTTATCAACTGAGACACCGTGCCACCTTGTGTTGTGGCAGTAAGCAGAAAACAATTTAAAATAAAACGTTCATTATTTCTTAATGCTGTTTTCCTTCACTTTGAGTCGAGACGAGAACATTCTAGACTTACAAGAAACAAATGTTATAAACTTTTCAAAGCTTTAACACGAGGTCTTAGTTTCTTTCTCAGCACAGTGCGTCATCAAAACAAAAAAATCTTCTGGAGTGGCTTTTTAAAAATTCCACCTACATTTTTAAACGGGTCATGAAAGGACAGAATCATTCGTGACCCATAAACTAGAAGAAGCGGACAGCAAGAGACAGGCTGGACTCAGATTCAGACTCATTTCAAGCTTAGTAGCATGTGTCCACGTGTGGCTCTGTCTGGTGGCTGTTTTTCTTCTGCTTTCTTTAAAACTCGTGCTATGTTCGTGCTGCTCTGCCTCAACTATTTTTAGCTCTTTTGGTCTCGCAGAAGCTGGAGGTGTGAAGTGATGCAGCTCCACAAGTTCACAGTGAAAAGTAGAACATCTTATTCTGGCACAGAAATGTTGCAGAAGGAAGAAAATGGAATGAAAAAACATATTTTTTCCACATGTTTTGACACTGCAGCTTAAATTATGGGTAGTTAATAGATATGTGGGAACTTTAGAGCCATCAGTTAGTTGATAAAAACAATGTTTGTTTGTTGGAGACATATTTGTATCAGTTTGATGAACATTTTTAATGTCTGGTCAGAAACTTGTTGGAGAAGAATTGGCTAAATCTTTCTGTTCTTAGTGGTCTGCCTACTATTAGCTGAAACTGTGTTGGAGTAGTCACTATTATTTTATTAAATTTTATTTATTTTCATTGAGATCACAGGTATATTTTTGAAGGAGAGGCCAGGGCCTGAAGGCAGCCTAGACATGCTTTTAGACTGTGGGAGGAAACCAGAGTACAGTAGTCCCTCACTACTTCGCCGTTCAACTTTCGCGGTTTTTCAGAGTAAGATTGGACATGACACACAACTACGTGATTGATGGATGAGACGCACAGTCAGCATGGAATTTTAATTTACAATAAATTATTTTAAACTATTTAGCACCTGCTGCTTGTTCTGTGCAGCCCACAGCTGCAGGAGAAGCTACCTCCTGCAGCATGTCAGATCTCCGCTCTGCAGCACAGAAGTGGGCGTGGCCAAGAGCAGAGATCATGACATTCTGTGCTCTTTTAGAGCGTTTAGAGCAGGACTGTTCAACTGGAGGCCCATGGGTCAGAAATGGCCCACAGGTGACTTCAATCCAGCCCACTTCATTAAAAAATAAATAAATAAAATAAAGT